AACCTCAAGTAGAGATGGGATGTCGTCGAGTGGCACGCACGTTGGCCGCCGCTTGGCCTTGTCAGCCGCATGCAGGTCGATGGTCGGCGACTTGGTGTTGAGAAGCTTGTGGAACCACCGTGCCCACCGTTGGCGAATAAACGTGGGATCCCGAAGGGCCTTGCCGTCCTCGTCCTTGATGTTCTGACAGGTGAACGACCTCTTACCTTCGACGTCGATCAACTTCATGTGCCTGTAGAAACCCGCCTTATTCCCCTCGCGGCTCTTCTTCTCGAGCTGCCGTACATAGCCCTCGAAGAACGTTTCTAGTGCTCTCCACCTCGCGGTGCTGTGCTTCTTCCGCGCTGCCTTGAGCATCGCCTTCAGGTTCGCCTCGAAGGCGCTGTTCTTTGAGGCCCCACGCAGTTGCTGCTGGGCTGCCTTAATCTCCTTAGACGCTTCGAAGATTTCGGGCTGTGCTTCCCTCGTGTACCAGCCTCTCTGCCCTCGTGCGCACCTCGCCAGCGGCGCGGTCTCAGCAGCGGCCGACATCACCGTAGCCGTCAGATCGGCGGCGGTCTCTCCCGTTGGCCGCCTGAGCGCCGTGGGCGGAGGGCGGCTGGACGCCCTGTTTTGGAAGGCAACCCGTGGGTGTTTGTCCTTCCTCAACCGCTCGAGGTCGATGCGGATCCGACTGCTTCCTTCCGCTGTTCCCCCGCACTCGTCGGTTGGGTGGGACACAGGGGGGAGGCGGACAGTCGTAAGACGAGGTTGTGGTCAGAGTCCTTGAAGTCGACACGTTTGACGGAGACATTACGCACGAAACGCCGGTCCGTCTAACCCATGAGGATGAAGTCGAGGCGGTACTTCTCCTTCCCCTTGTTGGAGCTCTGGAATGTGTGCTGCATTCCACCTTTCGGTGTCCGGAAGTAGGTGTTGGTCAGGGAGCGTTGGTTGTCTGATGCTAGTCCAATGGGTCGTTCCCCGTTGTTGTTCATAATGTCGCGTCCGTACGCGCCCATAATCTTGGCATCGCAGCACCCGTCTCGCCTATTACCAGTGCGTGCGTTGGCGTCCACTAGCAACACGAGATGGTCACGGCTGTGAACCTCCCGGATCGCTACGTCGAGAGCAGTCCAGAAGGAGTCCTTGGCGTTAACATCACCGCCCGCGGTGGTGCGGACAGTTTCCGTGTGGGCGTACCCCACCACGAAAGATACTCCGCAGGTGCGGCCAATTTGTAGACGCACCAGCCCATTAGCCTCGGGCTAATGCACTCCACCGTCCTACCTTCCTCGCCCACACTCTCCCACATGGCCTCCTTGATCGCTATGCCCACACCGTGTACGCCCCTCTTGTCCTTGGTGCCAGCACGGGCGCCACTCCAGATGATCACGTACCCGTCGTGTGCGTGACCACGGGAAGGGGTAAACGGCACCAGTGCTGAGAGCGCTGATTTGAAGGGAAGACAAAAAACAAAATGCGTAGGTTGATACAACCTAGAAGATCGTAATCAGGCGGCAGGTATTCGGTTTTAGAGGTAAGGGGACCCCAAAAACCAGCCATTTGCATATCATGAACGCGTTCCGCAGATCCTGCGCCTGCTGCTCAACAGCAGCATCCGCAGCAGTCTCAACAGCAGCATCCGCAGCAGCCTCAGCAACAGCAGTACTACCATCCTCGTCCCCAACAGCAGCAGCAGCAGCAGCAGCAACAAGGCGGCCGCGGTGGGGGGGGCTGGGGTGGTGGACCCCAGCACGGACCTCATGGCGGACGCGGAGCGCAGCAAAGGTATGGAAACTCTGTCCCCCCTCGCCCGCAGCAGCAGCAATGGCGACCCTCGCACGGGCATGCAAACGTGATGCACCACGAACACGGTGCACCGCCCTACGGGGGGCNCAAGGCGGCCGCGGTGGGGGGGGCTGGGGTGGTGGACCCCAGCACGGACCTCATGGCGGACGCGGAGCGCAGCAAAGGTATGGAAACTCTGTCCCCCCTCGCCCGCAGCAGCAGCAATGGCGACCCTCGCACGGGCATGCAAACGTGATGCACCACGAACACGGTGCACCGCCCTACGGGGGGCCCGCAAATAGTAGCGAGTATGGGGGTTGGGAGCAGCCGCAGCAACAGTACCAGCAGCCTCTGCCTGACTACACCCAGCAGCAGCAGCCGTACTACCCGTCATCGACGCCTTACTACGAACAGCAGCATGCCGCCACAGCCTCCGCCTCCGCCGACGTTCCAGCAACAGCAGCCGCAGCAGCAGCAGCAGCACTCGACTCATGCCCCGCCCCACTCCTCTCCTCCCGGAGCAGCAGCACCGGCCCCGGGCTCCCTCCACTTCTTGATGGCACGTTTCGTGTCTGCAGGCGAGATTGTTCCGAGTGGTGTTGTAGCGAGTACCGAGCGTGAGAGTGGTAATGAATTTGCTTTGTCTGTGCAGAACCCGCTTTCCCACCTTGGCAGGGAAAAATTTTGGGCCGACAGTGGTGCGACGAACACTTTTGTGAGCAGCAGTCATCAGATGTTTGACTTGAGGCCAGTGCCGACAGGCAAGGAGTACATCCAGGTTGGCAACGGTGCTTGTTTGCGCGTACAATGTTTGGGGACGGTCAACATGGCCTTCCACATGCAAGACCAGGGAGGAGAGCGTGATGTTTGCGTGCAGATGTCGGACGTGTACGTTGTGCCTGGAATCACATTCAATTTGTTTTCGTTGCACCACACGCAGCGTAAGCAGCGGATCGTCCTAGACGAGACAGGTGTACATCTCTTTGATGGTAAAATTTTCTTCGCGTACTCTGACGTGGGATGCTCGCTCTGGGCTACTAGATTGCCCCAAGATTACAGTGGTAATGCTGTGACCACAAGCCCCGATGCCCCTCACCGTTGGTCTGCGCAAGCGTCCACGAATGGCGCAGGATTTGTTGCGGCCACTCCCCCCCCTTTCCAGATCGCAGGAACGGGCAACGGTTCGAGTTCGAGTGCGAGTGCGACTTCTGGCTTCCAGTCCGTCGCATCGGTCGGTGTTGTACCTTTGACTCCCGGCTTCCAGTCCGTCGCATCGGTCGGCGTTGTACCTTCGACTCCCGGCTTCCAGTCCGTCGCATCGGTCGGCGTTGTGCCTTCGACTTCTGGCGTCCAGCCGACCGGATCCGACGGTGTAGTACCTTCGTGTCCGAGCGTCCCCTACACAACTTCCGGTGTAGTGCGGCCGATTTGGGCTTTTCCGTCTGTCGACGTAGACCCAATCCCCACGACGATCCCTGATTTTCAGCCTGTGATTACGGCTGCCGTAGAATCGTCTTCGATTGTGCCTCCCCCTGCCGTAGA